TTCCTGGCTCATGCCAACCGAAGCCGTCGGTGGCAATGCTCCTTGGGCTCAACCAGAGGGAGGATGAGCCCCTTTCTCACTTTGTGAACCGCTTCACCACACAAATCCGCGGACTGTCCGATGCTCACCCTTCTTTGATGATGCAGGCATTCATGATGGGCCTGCGCCCCACCCGATTCTTCTGGTCTCTGGTGGAGCGACCCCCCACCTCGGTTCCCGAAATGTTGCAACGCGCGAACCAGTACATCGCTGTCGAGGCATAGATGGTCGGAAAGCGCGACGAGCGCAAGAGGGTCAAGCCGGAGCAGTCCCAACAACAACAGCCCGTTACCTCCCGACGCAGGGCCGGCGGCCTCAACGACACGGTACCTAGGTCCCCTCCCCCGGGCCTGAACTCCTCTCGGACCGAAATATTTCTCCATATTAAGGAGAAAGGCCTTCTCAAAGACCCCTACCCGATGAGGAGCCCGCGCGAACTCGCGGACCGCTCTAAATACTGTCGTTTCCACCGGCAGCCTGGTCACGACACCGAGGAGTGCCGAGAATTAAAAAGACAAATTGAAGAGCTCATCCGTCGAGGACACCTCGGCTCATACCTCCGACCAGATAAGGAGCTCTCGCCACGCCCGGAGGGCCCCATCGAGCGGCACATAGATGTCATAACCGGCGGGCCAGCGTCCGGAGGGAGTTCCATGGCGGGTGGAAAGGCATACGTCAGGGCCTCCCGGGTTGAAGCTTTCAAACGTGAAAAGGGTCCCGAAGTCACCTTCCCAACCGGGGAACCTGAACCAGCCGAACATGATGACGCGTTGGTAATATCAGCCAGAATTGCCAACGCGCAAGTAAGAAGGATCATGGTCGACACTGGAAGCTCGGCCGATATACTATATTGGGACGCCTTCCAAAAGCTCGGCCTGGTAAAGGAGAACATGAAGCCGATATGCTCAACACTCACGGGGTTCACCGGCGCCTCGATCTCTTCACTAGGGGTCATCACCCTGCCCCTGACTTTGGGAGCCTTCCCGAAGGCAAAAACGGTGATGACCTCCTTTCTGGTGGTCGACCTCCCCACGGCATACAACGCCATCCTGGGACGGCCAACCCTCAACAGGACCCGAGCCGTCATCTCAACGTACTATCAAACCATCAAGTTCCCGACCCACGACGGGGTCGGGGAAGTGGCGGGGAACTCCTGGGAGTCTAGGCACTGCTATTTGACCGCTGTGTCATTAAACAAGAGAGCAAGGATCCAATCCCCACTGGAGGACCCCCGGGAGGAAAAAAAAAACCGACCCCCCGCCCCGAGCCGAAGGAATCTACCATCGACTTACCACTGGTCGAAGGAAGACTCGACCAGACAGTCAAGATCGGGTCGGGACTGCCCGAACAAGAACAACGGCAGCTTGTCGGCCTTCTGCAGGCCAACGCCGACATCTTCGCTTGGACGCCGGCTGACCTAGCGGGAGTCCGTCCGGAGGTCGCGCTGCACCACCTGAACATCTCGTCCGACGCCCGCCCGGTGAAACAGAGGCCCAGGCGGCAGGCCCCGGATCGACAGCTGGCCATCCGAGAAGAAGTAAACCGGCTCCTGGCGGCCGGTTTCATAGAAGAAGCGAGTTACCCACAGTGGCTCTCAAATGTAGTCCTAGTCAAAAAACCTAATGGAAGCTGGCGGATGTGCGTTGACTACACCAGTCTCAACAATGCTTGTCCAAAAGATTGCTACCCCCTGCCGAAGATCGACCAGCTGGTCGACGCCACGGCCGGCCACGCCCGGCTCTCGTTTATGGACGCCTTCTCCGGGTACAACCAGATCAGGATGGCACCCGAAGACCAAGAACACACAGCCTTCCTCACCGAGCAGGGGATATATTTTTACAAAGTTATGCCGTTCGGATTGAAAAATGCCGGGGCAACCTACCAGAGGGCGGTGAACAAGATGTTCGCGCACCAGATCGGTCGAAATATGGAGGTATATGTCGACGACATGATCGTAAAGAGCCGAACGGCGGAGGCTCATCCCTCCGACTTGGCAGAAGCATTCGACACTCTGCGGAGGTTCGGCCTGCGCCTCAACCCCGCCAAGTGCACCTTCGGCGTAACCTCGGGAAAATTCCTCGGATTCATCATACACGAGAGAGGGATTGACGCCAACCCAGAAAAGATACAGGCCATCATCGACATGCAGCCTCCTCGGACGATCCGAGACCTGCAGCGCCTTAACGGGAGGCTGGTCGCTTTATCGCGTTTCCTCTCCCGATCGGGAGATCGCTGCCACTCTTTTTTCCAGGCCCTGAAGGATCTGAAGAACTTCCGATGGACGGCGGAATGCGAGAGGGCCTTCGAGCAGATGAAGCTACACCTGGCCAGTCTCCCTCGACTCGCTTCGGTCTCCCCGGGGGAGAAGTTGAGTCTCTACCTTGCCGTCTCCCGGCACGCGGTCAGTTCGGTTCTAGTCAAAGAAATCTCCGGCGATCAACTGCCGGTCTACTACGTCAGCCACATGCTGAGCGGGCCAGAAGAACGCTACCCGCCGATCGAAAAGCTGGCGCTGGCGCTCGTCCTGTCGGCGCGGAAGCTCCGCCCTTACTTCCAGGCCCACCCGATAGAGGTAATAACTGATCAGCCGCTTCGGCTCGTTCTGTCCAAATTCGACGTTGCAGGGCGTCTCCTCAAATGGGCAGTGGAGCTCGGCGAGCACGACATACAGTACATACCTCGGACCGCCATCAAAGCCCAGTCCGTGGCAGACTTCATCGCGGAGCTAACCCCGAATACAGGCGAAGAACTCG